AACTTCCGCTTCGCAAGAATATGTTTTGTTTTGTTGATCCCCTTTCGGTGGCCATTAGGTGTTTCATACTGAATGTTCCTCCCTCAGCTCGCATTTTACTTTCTCAAACAAGTCTTGGGCCTCAGAATGCGCCCCTGGCCCCCGAATGACAGCAACAACAGTCAATTTAAGACTGGTCGCTCTTATCTGCTCGCGTGCCACTGCATACGTATATCCCAAACCATCGATACTCGCTCCCTTCGTCTTCGATCGTGCCCCTCGGGGGCGTTTCTTTTCCTATTTGTATTATTATATATACATATATATATCTATATATCTATATATATATATATATATATGGTCGCCCCCCTTGGTATCATACCATTCGCCGTTCTGCGAACGGCGACTGCGAACGGCGAATGATACGATACCAGAGGGGGGGGGGAGAGGAGTAGGGGGGAAAGGAGTAGGCGGAGGAGACGGAGGAGGGGGTTGTTTCCTTTTTCCCCCCTCCCCGCCCTCGGAGGCAGAGTTATTTTCATTGTTGTCCTTGTGGAAACACAGGTTTTTCATATTGTTCTTTTTTTCTCTTTTTCTGCCCCCCCCCCTGGGGCGGCGGGGAAAACCCGAGGGGCCGAACGGGATAGCGAAAAACGGGAAAAAATGAAAAACAACAAAATTGGAAAAAAACATGTGTTCTCACATGGAAAAAGAGGGAAACAACTCCGCCTCCGAGGGCGGGGAGGAGGAAAAAAAAGAGGGGGACAAACATCAGTACAACTCCTCCGTCTCCTCCGCCTAGCCGACTCCTTGACTCAACGTTCCCGCCCGTTTTCTGCCGAATTCCGTTCCTCTGTCTCCCGTTATCTCTCCTCTCTTCTCCTCCCCCTCTCTCTCTCTCTCTCTTGACTCTCTCTCTCTCTCTCTTTATCCTTCTCCCTCTCTTGACTCTCTCTCTCTCTCTCTCCCTCCTCCTCTCCTCTCCCTTCCTCTCTCTCTCCTCCTCCCTCTCCTCCTCCCTCTGTCTCTCTCCTACCTCTCTTGACACTCTCTCTCTCTCTTCTCCTCCTCTCCTCTCCTCTCCTCTCCTCTCCTCCCATTATATGTACCCCGCCCCGCCACAAAAGGAATCCATATGATTCGCTTCCCCCGTGTGCACCTCCGCCTCCTACTCGTCCTCCTCCTCATCATCTTTCTCCTCCTACTCCACGCAAGGAATCCATGTGGAGGCCCCTCCACATAAGGGGTCGAGCTGTGAAGGGCCTCCCAAATAAGGAATCATATTGTACTGGCTCCTTCACATAAGGAACTCATCTATGAAGGCCCCTCCCACATAAGGATTCAACATGTTGGAGGCCCCTCCACACAAGATATCAATATGGAGACCCCTTGCACATAAGGAATCAATATGCGGCGGTCCCTCCACAGACAAACTCAATATAAGAGGACCCTCCACATAACGAGTCTTTATTCGAAGGCCCATCCACATAAGAAATCCATGTGGAGACCCCTTTGACCTAAGAAATGAATATGTGGAAGTCCTTCCACAGACGAAATCAACATGTGGAGGTCCCTTCCACAAGTGGAATCAGTATGCGCGAGGCCCCTTGCACATAAGGAAAAAATATTGGGGAGGCCCCTCCACAAAAGGAATCAACAACATCTTTCTCCTCCTCATCTTTCTCCTCCTACTCCTTCTGCTCCTCCTTATCCTCAACCCCTGCGCCAAAGCGGGAGGAGGGGGGGGAGGAGCAGGAGGAGGAGGAAGAAAAGGACATCGCCCGCCGCAAAAGAACTCAATTGGTGGATGTCCTCCACAGACGGAATCAACATGTGGAGGCCCCTCAACTTAGGAATCGATAATTTGAAGGCCCATCCACATAAGGAATCCATATGTGCAGACCCCTTCCAACATAAGGAATCAACAAGTGGGAGGACCCTCCACAAAAGAAATCAATATGGAGACCCTTGCACATAGGGAATCAATATGTGGAGGTCCCTCCACAGACGGAATCAACATGTGGAGGTCCCTTCCACAGAAGGAATCAATATGTGGAGGATCCCTCACAAAAGGAAACAATATAATCTTTCTCTTCCTCATCTTTCTTCTCCTACTCCTTCTGATCCTTCTTCTCCTCAACCCCTGCGCCGGAGTGAGAGAAGGAGGGGGAGGAGGAGCAGAAGGAGGAGAAGGAAAAGGAGATCGCCCGCCACAGGACGAATCAATATGTGGAGGTCCCTCCACAGACGGAATCAATATGTGGAGGCCCCTCCACATAAGGAATCGATATTAAAAGGCCCATCCACATAAGGAATCCATATGTGCAGGCCCTTTCACATAAGGAATCATTATGTGAAGGCCCCTTCCACATAAGGAATGAACAAGTTGGAGGCCCCTCCACATAAGAAATCAATATGGAGATCCTTGCTTATAAGGAATCAACATGTGGAGGTCCCTCCACAGACGGAATCAACATGTGGAGATCCCTTCCACATAAGGAAACAATATGTGGAGGATCCCCCACAAGAGGAATCAGGCCCTTTCCACATAAGGATTCAACGAGTGGGAGGCCCCTCCACACAAGATATCATTATGGAGGCCCCTTGCACATATGGAATCATTATGTTGAGGTCCCTCCACAAATGGAATCAATATGTGGAGGCCCCTACACATAAGGAATCGATGTTTGAAGGCCCTTGGAACGACGAACATATGCAGAGAAGTCGGATCAGCGATAAACGAGTAGAAGGAACGACATTGATAATGAAGAGTAGGAGGGACAATAAAGAGTAGAAGGAACGAGGGCGGTAAGGAAGCTTGCGAACGGAGAAGATGACGAGGCCCTGCAACGGAGAAGGGTGGGAGGAAGGAGGAGGGACGAGGGGTGAGGGAGGCGGGAGATTCGGGAGGATAACGAACATAATCAAAAGGAGAAGGAACGAATCATAGAAAGAAATGCAGCGGGAAGGAACGACACCGATGCGGACGGAGAGTGGGCAGCATACGAGGGGGAGGGCTGACAAAGACAGAAGTGGGAAGTATCGAAGACAAGGCAAATGGTATGATACCAGGGGGACGAGCACATATATATACATATATATATGTATAAATATATAAAATATGTGCGAAGTTTTGCTGCGTGCATTTATTGCAGCCCCTGAAACAGGGGAAGGGAGGACGGATGAAAGGAATGGACAAGGGAGAAGGAACAGAAAACACGTTGCAGAACCAGACGGGCACACTGGGCGGGTAGACCCTAACGGGTGGGTCGGGAACGCGAGCCCAGGCGGTCAGGTCGAGCAGGCGGGTTGCTGAAGCGTGCGTCCTGCGTGAATCGCGAGGAGGTCTCGAACGATAGCGCGGTTCCCAGCTACATCGTGTCAAATTCTCAGCGAGAGCGTGCTTCCTAGGTATCGAGGGCGCGGCGTCTCAGTAAATTGCGAGAAAGTCCCTCGCGAGAGCGCGATTCTTCCACACATTGTGAGGAAGTTCCGCGCGAAAGCGCGATTTGGGAATAGTTGGTGAGGAAGTATCAGGCGGGAACCGTTGCCGTTGTAACCCAAGGGCCAGGGAGACCATGTGGTGAGACTTCAGTTTCCTTTTCTAAAAAACTGGGTGCGCGCCCAGGGGGGGGCATTAAAAAATAGGATGGTCGCCGGACGGGGGGGTCAGCAATAGTTTTCGTTTGGAACTGACAGTTCAATGGCTCCCGCCTAGTATATCCACACAATGTATGTCAAAGTCGCGCTCTCGCGCGGGACTTCCTCACAATGTATCCAGGAATCGTGCTCTCGCGTGGTACTTCCGAGCAATTTATTGCAGCGCCGTGCCCCCAACACTGCGGAATCACGCTTTCGTGTCTTGGATGTCTTCGCGCTTGTTTTTAGGAACCACGCCATCGTTCGAAACTTCCTTGAGATTCATGGTGGATTAACGCTTGAGAGACCCGCCCGCTAGGGTCCGCCCGTCAGAATCTCCCGTCTGGTTCTGCCGCTTACGCTCTTGCTCCGACCATCCTCCTACAAATCTCTGTCGTGTTTGATTTTTCTCCCTCCCCGTTGTTTCTTCCCTCCTCGCTTCCTTCCCTTGTTTTAGCGGTGCGCCAACTACACGTGCCAGGCAAGGGAAGCATACCCCCAACGTGGGTAGGGTCGAAGGCGAAGAGGGCGGGCATCGTCAGAAAACGTCTCGGGGTGAGGAGCCGGTCTCTTGGCATGGGTTCAGACTTCCCGGGGGCCACCTTGCGACACAATCACAGCGTCAGATAGCCAGGGGCCGGAACAAGGACGCGAAAAACGTGGGGACGAAGACCGACAGTTGTCCTCCTATCTGGGACGGAGCTCGCCATCGGTGTCGTCTCGAGCGTTATACATTCGCGACGAAGGCCGCCTGCACAACACCGGCCGCCATTGGTTCTGGATACAAGCAGTTGCCAGGCATCGTCCGTAGTTTCCCCATTCTATTTCCTATGTGCCAGGGAGTCCGCATGAAGAATATATACTTCCTCTGCCCCTGGTGGAGTGGGCGCGCCCTCCTCCTCGTCCCCCTTGTCGCCCTCCTCGTCCTGGCCCTCATCCACCAACTCCCCCTTCTCTTTACCCCCACCTTCCGAACACCTGAAGTAAACACATTCACGAACGATCGCACACAAAAAACAGAACACCGTCACCCACGCACGAGGACGCCGACTACAAGGATTCCCCTTCATCCCTTCTCCATTCCTCATGTTTTTTTCTCTCGCGGCACACATGCATGTTTTCCACGGCTATCTATCCCATTCTCTATCCCGTTTGTATACATCCAGAGAGATAGACAGAGGCTGCGGCCTCGCTTGCCTAGCCTTAGATAGGCCTGGAGGACGCACCGCGTTGTTCGCTCGCTCGCTCGTTCTCTCGCCCCCTCCCTCCCCCCCCTCCTCCCCGGCGCCGACGCTAACGCCGCCGACGACAGCGCAAGTCAAACAAAAGAGCCGGCGCAGACGGCGGCGGCGGCGGGCCGCCCTGCAGCCTTTGCGCCCGAGGCCGTGATCGGCGTCGGGCCGCCCGAAGCGCCCGCGGCCGACGCGTGGGCGGACGCCAAGAGGGCCCTCGAGGCGGTGCAGCGCTACTTCAGGGAGGACTGCGCGGGGGAGGAGCGACGAGGAGGGGGAGCGACGAGGAGGAGGAGGAGGAGGAGGAGGAGACGGAGGAGGAGACGAAGGAGGAGGAGGCGGAGGATGAGGAGGAGCGAGGAGGTTCGAGGAGGAGGAGGTTCGATGAGGACGAGGACGAGGACGAGCACGAGGAGCGAGGAGGAGGTTCGAGGAGGTCCGAGGAGGAGGTTCGAGGGGAAGGAGGAGGAGGGGGAGGAGGGGGAGGAGGTTCAAGGCGGCGCAAGGAGGACTGCGCGGAGGAGGTTCGAGGAGGTTCGAGGAGGCAGGGGATCGGAGGCCCCCAGGGCGGCCCAAAGAGGGCCCACGAGGCTTCCCAAACGGCCCTAAGTGCCGAAGCGCCCTAAGATGGCCCCACGGCGGGCACTGAGCTAAACAGGCCTTGGGTTTTTTGAACAAGGAGGAGGAGGTTCGAAGAGGAGGAGGAGGAGGAGGAGGAGGAGGAGGAGGAGGAGGAGGAGGAGGAGGAGGGGGCTTCGTGGTCAGTTTGGTCCACATGGGCGGACATGGCTCAAAGGCTTTATTTTGTGGCAGGGGGGGCTTTACGCCCCTAGCTCTTCCCTGGCGCAGGCCAGGTTTTGTTTTCACAATTACTCGCTCACCCGTTGACCGCAACCTCCCGCATCTTCGCGCAGCAGCGACAGGTCCTCTTGCTGGGCATTTTTTCTCTCACGACCCGTGGGTTCGCTCCGACGGTGGGGACGATGGTTGGTAAGGCGGGTAGCACACCAAAGGCAGGGATAAGGAAGAAGGAAGTGGGCTAGAAGTTGTGCAAGCAGCGTCCTTCCCCCCAGGCGTCCGCAGCCAGGCGGTCGTTGGGCACAGGGTGCCCTGTCTGACTCACCATCCCTGGCTCAGGGCCCGAGCTGGCCGGCCGGGCTCAGAGGAGGCAAAGGCGGGGGCAAGGGCAAAGCTAAAGGTGATGAGTCGGCAGTGTCGGTTTGCAGTGTGGCGCTGTGACGTTCAGGTTCAGTCGCTTCCCTCCGTGGCGTTCTGCCGACGGCGAGGCGGACGGTCACGAGCACTGCCCGCCGTCTCCCCGGGAACCTGGGAGGGCTGCTCCCGCTCGGCGAGGGCGCTCGAGACAGGCCTGCCGCTCGGCGGCGTGCTTGCCGCTCCTACCCGAGCGTCTGCCAGGTGGGAGACCTACAGTGGGGGCGCGTGCCAAGAAACCAGTTGGATTTTGCCAGGGTGCCCTGGGTTTCTTGGATTTTGATGGGCTCCCAATCAGGTCTTGACGATTTTCGATCGACACATGTGGATTTTCACTGAACAATTCGCGTATTTGAGGGTTGGGTTTCTTGCGGAGGTTTCTTGTGGCCGAGCCCCCACTGTAGATGAATTTGGCAAAACCTAGATGACATTGTTTTCACCGTTTGACGCTCGTGGCAGTTGCAGGCTGCGAACTTGCTTTACGATCTGCTCGGCTCTGCGCCAAGCACGGCTGCGGGTCGCCAGTGCTGAACACAGGCAACAACAGCAGCAGCAGCAGCAGCTGCTCTGAGATGAGCCATCCTGAACTTTGGCGACCCTCAAACAGTGGGCCGTGAGCTGACAGAGCACAGCTAACTTGGGTCCTGGGGGCCTCTGGAGACCTTCGAGAGCGCCGCCAAAGAGGAGGAGGAGCAGGAGGAGGAGCAGGCGCAGGAGGAGAAGGTTCGAGGAGGGGGGCCAGGACGTAGAATCAGTTCTGAGCGGTTCTGATTAGTTGGCAGCCTCCCCCTGATTTCTGGACCCCTTCCCCCTGAGGCCACCCTCTCCTCTTCGGCCCGTATCTGACGGCCCCGGGGTCCGGTGATGGGGGCCCTCGGGGACCCAGCACTGCGAGGGGGTCGGACGCCCACGGATGGGGCGGGAAGGTTCGGCTGCGCGTCCTGGGAGATCAAATTCTGATTTTGCCCTAGTCCGAGATCCAGCTCGATCAGGCTCAATCCCGCTGAATCCGGCCGAATCCCGCTTCGTCCGGACGAATCCCGATTCATCCGCGGCCTCATCTGGCGTAGCAGCCCCCTGTGGGGCTGAACTCTCCCTGAGCCTTCAGCGGCGCAAGGGGGGGGGGGAAGCGAGAAGGAAATCATTGATCGTCAAGAAAAGCATAGGGGGAAATTGACACTGAGGGGAACAGGGCTTGGACCCTGAGGCCTTCCCCCAGGACCAGTTCCTCCTCCTGAGCTGGTTTCTGCCAGTCCCAGGGCCCGGGAGGGCCCCGAGAAGCCGAGCACGGGGAAAAACCTCAGGACCCGTTTCTCGCAGGACCCGATCGCCGCCAGGGCGACGATCGGCCGCGAACGAGGGGGGGGGCCTCCCAGCAGTTGCCTCCCAAGGAAGGGCCCCAGCTCGGCGCCTCTTGGCATCGCTCGGACGTGTGCATTTTGTTCTCGGCGAGAACCATCGAGGACCATCCTGGACCATCGAGCAAAAAAAACACGCACGAAGCGGTTTGGGGAGCGGTCTCGAGGCGACCGCGCGCCCCGGGCGCCGGAGGCCGCGCTGCGGAGGCAGTGGGGCCCCTCGGGGTCCTCGCCCAGAGGTCCAGCGCACCGACGCGTGCAATGCGGAGTTGTTCTCCGTTTTCGGCCTCTGGAGGAGGAGGAGGAGGAGGAGGAGGAGGTTCGAGCTTGTTCCCCGCCGAGAGAAACAGGGGGGGGACCCGAAACTAAAGGCCCTTCTCGGTTGCGGAGCTGTTCTCCGTTCTCGGTTGCTAGAGGCCCTCGCCAAGCCTGGGGACCGCGAAGACTCGGGAGGAAACGCCGTGGAGCGAGGCTTTGGGAACCCTAGGTTCGGGGGCGGAAAAGAGGGGGGTGATGACTAGGGGGGGTGGATATCATGGCGGGGGCCATGATATTTCCCCAGATTTCTCATTTCGTTGCGTCCCTGGCCCCCCCGCTGGGCCGCGCACATGCCGCCAGTCATGATTTGCACCCCCACCCCTCTTGGACACCCCCCTCTTGGCCGCTCCCGATAGGTTGAAAGATCAGGACAGATGTCGACGGCAGGTTTCTGGGGGGCCCTCACAGAGTATTGTTTGGGCGGCGCCGGATCCCGTCCTTCATTCCTCCCGTCCGCGGGGAACCTCTGGAGCACAGAGTGGCGCAGGACCGCGTGCGGCCGACACGTCGTCGTCGCTGCCGCCGCAGACCTCGATGTCGCGGTCGTCGAGGTCCGAACCCCCTCGTCCCTCCCTCTGTCCTCCTCGTCTCATGGCGCCAACATCGCAGAGCGGATTTCGTTCGAAAAACGATAGGGTAGGCCCAGAGTGTCCTGGAGAATTTCGATCCGGACTCCGAGGCGAATTTCGCGCGGTTTCTGGTTGGCCAGGAATGAAGACCAGAAAGAATCCACGCGAAATTCACTTCGTTTTTCGCTCGCCGCTTCGTGCAAAAATCCACGCAGAAATTCGCTGCAGCACGTCTGCGAGGCCGGTGCAATGACTCGTCTGCCCTAGACGGCTTGAGATTTCAAGATGATGTGACCGACGTTTCACGGAGCCACACAGTACGCCATGCTAAGCTGAACAGCTGCTCGACACACCGTACGCCATGCGTCGAGAAAGACAGAGAGAGAGAGAGGGGGAGATAGATGGTTGTCCTTTCCCTCATCTCCCTGACCCTGCTGCTGCCCCGACTCGCGCCCATCCTCCATTGTTCCTCTTCCTGGTCTTGGTGAAGCCGCCGTCACGGCAGCTGTGCGTCCTCCTCCGTCTTTGGTTCGCGGCTGTTTCTGCTCAAGCTTCTGCAGTCAGTCAGGCACCATCATCGGCCTTCCCAGTCGCCCGCCCAGCCCGCGTCGCTCACCGCAGCTGCCTTTCGACGCCATGGCCCGCTCCTCCTCGCTGCTGATCTCCTGCGCCGTCGCGGTCGTGGCCGTCGTGTCGGTGGCCTCTCTGGGGCTGAGCTTCGTGGGGACGCCGGCGACGGCGGGCCTGCGTGCTGGCCAGCGCGAGCCCAGCGTGGAGATGCAGTTCTTCGGCGGGTCGCCGTCGCCGGCACCGTCGCGTCCGTCGTCGGCGGGAGGAGACTGGCGCGCCAAGGCCCGGGCTGACCTCTATGAGCAGAGCGGAAATTACGTGGTCTCGTTCTCCATCGTGTTCCTCTGCTTGTGCGTGCTGAGCGGCAACACTGGCCCAGGGTACTCGGGGGATGCGTTACAACTTGCAAGCGTAAATGTTGTAAATGCTAATCGTTCTCCTCCTCCTTCTCCTCCTCCTATTCTCCTCCTCGTCGTCTCCTGTCCGATGAATGTCAGATATTTGCGCTGCGCATCTGTTCACCTCAGGTACTTCGGCAACTTCTTCGACTACAAGCTGTAGGCGGCCACAGGTGCCGGGGGCGCTGCCGCCACAGGTTGCATCGTTGGCCAGCCAGCCGACCGCCCGGGAGCCTCGGGGCTCACGTAAGCCACGTGGGGCCGACTCCTTTTTTCCGTCCTCCTCGGCGACGCGCAGGGGGGGGTAGAGGGAGGGGGAAGGCTTCTTAGAAGCACCCTTGCTTGTTAGAAAGCGCAGACTCTATCTGTAGATGTAGGGCCGGCACCTTCTAAGAAGCGGCATCCTTCTAAGAAGCCTTCCCCCCCCTCCCCCCTTTGCTCGCCGCCAACCTCGGCTGACCCTGGTTTGGGAGCTACTCAGCCGGCGACAGGGCTTCGCGACAGGGCATTGGCCGGCTCGGGTCTGTGCTGACCCAGATCAGTGCGCCCCCGCGAGCCGTCCAGTGGGATTCCAAGGCCAGGGGGGCTCCGCCCTCCAGGAGGAGGAGGGGGAGAAGGACTGGGAGGAGAGGGAGGAGGCGGAGGAGGAGGAGGAGGAGGAGCACAAGCACGCAGAGGAGGGATGGTGGTGGGAGTACTCAGACATCGGACGTCTTGGTTTTCGTGCACAACGTGGCTTCCCAGAAGTCTGGATTCCTTTTCGGGGGCCAGCTTTCCATCCCGAGTCGCTTGACGGCCCCGCGGCCTGGCGAGGTCTCCAAGAGGCGGAAACTAATTTCCACGACGCAATGAAGCTTTGTTTTCGGGTCATGATTTGGCTCTCTTGCGGCCGTTTGGGAGGATTCAGGCATATTATACTTAGAACGCACTAGCATCCCGAGGCGAACAAAACTCAAAGAACCAGCGAGCAAATTCGAAAACCTCAGACGAACCTCTTAGCCTCAAGCTGAGGGGCTGGGCTTGTGGGGTCCGACTGGCCAAGATTTTCGGGCTAGGCGGGCACATTTTAGGGGGCCGTAGTTTTCGAGTTTGCCAGAACTCGGCTTTGCCGCCGCTTTTTTAAGCTCCAGGTGTGCATTTTGACGGTCCAGTTTCCATAAGATGTTCGCAGCGAGAGTTCGCATCAAATTGCAGATAAGGTCCCGCCGTTTCTGCTAGGTGGGGATCGGCCCCGCGAAACCCGACGGAGAAGGCATATATGACCCAGGATTGCCCCCCCCATGCTTATGGGATCGAGCTCCCCCCCGCTGGATGGGCATGCCCGTGAGCCTCGCGAAGGCCCCCTTTGGTCGTGGCCATGTGGGCGTGGCGTGGTTGTGCCGGTGCACCCCCTCTCCCTCCCCCATGTGGGTGCGTCGTCAGCGTCGGCGTGGGGGTGGGGCCTGCGGAACCCTGGGGCCCATTCCATTTGGGGGGGGGTTCTTGTGAACCCAGGACCCGAGATCATTGATCCCTGCATAGGTGGGTGAATCGGCCGTCGGGGCCAGGGCCACGCCAGTGGGGGGGAATAGAGATCGGCTAAACGATGCTCAGTCAGGCCAAGCCGAGCGCCCCCACGACTCGACTCTTACGTCTCCTCGAACTCCTCGGGGCGCGGCTGGCTGGCAGCCGGTAGCCAGAATTTTCAGGTTTTTTTGACCAGCGCGAGGTCCAGCACGGCGCTCGCGATTCTATACAGTAGCAATCATTGGTCCGCCTGCGGCAGACCCCGCAACCGTGCCAGCACGGCAGCACAGCGAGAGGGGCCCTGGCCTCCTCGCGCCGCTACAGAAAGAAAACGGCGGAAGGATGTTCCGAGGCCCGAGAAGCCTCGGAAGCAAAAACAGTGATTACCATTTGCTTGTGAATCCCCAGGCCTCGCTGGAGGCCTCTTTGGGCGTCTCTTAGAGGCTTGTTGGGGCCTCCTAGAGCATCTTAGTTGGATCCCAGAGCTTTTAGGGCTTCGATGGGCCATCTTTGCATGGTTACAAGGCGTATCGCAGCCGTTTGGGAGAGATCGTTGACTCACTTGGGGCCGCGTGGAGACCGAACATGGCTCCAGAGAGCAAACTCTAGGGAGGCCATTGTTGTAAGGTCGCGTGGTCTAGAAGGGTGGGGTGAGAGGGGAGGAGGAGGAGGAGGAGCAGGAGGAGGAGGTGGAGGAGGAGGAGGAAGAAGGAGAAAGGGGGAGGAGGGAGGGAGAGCTGGGGGAGGGGGCGTCCCTACTTACAGAAATCTTGCCATACAACCTGCAAGCACTCTAACACGCCTGAAGTGCCGCTGGCACGGCCGCGGATCCTCGACCAGTGGGGTGAGCAGCAGAACGAACGGACCAAAACAAGAGGGCATATCGCATATCTTGCGGAGTGGAGGGGGCTGCTCTGTCTCAGGCGATCGCAAGCATGGATGAAGGGGGCGTGGATTAGCGACGGGTCCCGTTTCCATGGGAAATCGCGGATTTCCGCCGCCGAACGAGGCGGCACGGGCCGCATTTTGGGGAGGACACCTCCCCCGATCCATGGATTTGGCGACCGCGCGCCAAGTCCATGGATCGCTAATCCATGTTTGCGCGCCCCCGACAGTTGCAGAGCAACCGTGCCAGGAGAGCAGTGCGTCTGTGGCCTTCGACCCATCCGCCACCGCGTCTGGGTCGTGGACGCAAGCTCCTCGAGAGGTATCCTGGGAGCTTGTTGGGAGCCCCTTGCGGCCTCCTGGGGGCGTCTTGGGAGCCTCTGAGGGCCTCTTGGGCGCCAATGTGAGTCTTGTGAGCGATCTTTGGGGCCTGGGCCGACTTGGACGCTCTGAGGGCCGGAAGGTCGAATTCCTGTAAAAAATGGGTTGGTCCCAGTGCCTGGAAGGCTGGCCAAGAGGCCCCGAAGAGGGTTCCAGGATGGCCTGGCAGGGCCATTTGGGACACGCGGGACGTGTGGAATCCCAGCTACACTCTAGGGCCGTGGGAAAAGTCACGCGGATAGCGGCCAGGACCCGGGAGCGTGATTTGGGGGTCTGGGGCCCTTGAAGAGCAATGTCACCATTCGATATCGAGGAGGAGCTTAGCATACTCCATTCAGTGCCTCGCGGCAGGGTTGCGTAGTTGAGGATAGCAGAGGTGTGGAAGGGTATCTCGGCGTCCGTCTTCGCCGAGACGTGCCGAGCATAGCTTCCCCAGCGTCGCGCAGGGCCATATGCGTTCTCGCCAGAGCAACTTTGCCCATGCGACTCGCACCACCCTCGCTATGGAGACATTATCCAGGTAAGAGAGAAAGAGAGAGTGATGTATATATATATATATATATATTCGCATGTGCATATCATACATACGTACACATATACACACATACATACATACATGTATACAAACATACATGTACATATACATAACCATATACATATACACATACACATACATATATATATGTATATGCGCATGTACATGTACACATACACATACACATGCATATGCAGTTCCATATACATGTATATATGTATGTGTATATGCATACATGATCATACAGAGTTACAGTTGCGTCTACATATACATATACATACATACATACATGTTTCCATGCATATCTACATACATGCATGCACGCACACACATACATACATACATACAAACATGCATACAGACAGACAGACAGACAGACAGGCAGACATCCATATATACATACATACATGCATACATGCATACATGCACACATGCATACACACATACTTACTTACATACATACATGCACACACACACATATATATATATATATATACATATATAAATATATACATCCATACATACATACACATGTGACCGTAAGGGCTTCGCCCCCTGCCGCCGGCCCCCTCTCTCGGAGAATGGGCCATGGAAGAGCAGGTTTTGGACCCTGACCCCGCGGATCTGCGTGAGGGGTGGCACCGAATTTCAGAAATGTGGCAAATCCCCTTTGTTTTTGGACCCTGACCCCGCGGATCTGCGTGAGGGGTGGCACCGAATTTTAGAAATGTGGCAAAGCCCCTGTGTTTTTGGACCCTAACCCCGCGGATCTGCGTGAGGGGTGGCACCGAATTTCAGAAATGTGGCAAATCCCCTATGTTTTTGGACCCTGACCCCGCGGATCTGCGTGAGGGGTGGCACCGAATTTCAGAAATGTAAAGTCCCTTGTGTTTTTGGACCCTGACCCCGCGGATCTGCGTGAGGGGTGGCCCGAATTTCAGAAATGTGTTTTTGGACCCTGACCCCGCGGATCTGCGTGAGGGGTGTCGATTTTGAGCCCCCCCAGCAATTCAGACAACGCGCCCAGGTGGTGCTAAAAATTTGGTTTGGGCCTCCCTCCCCTCGCGCGGTCAATCAACTAGTTACAGTAACCAGCAAGAAGCAGAACTGTAACACTGGAAATTACAAACTACAACTGGTACAGGAAACTGCGAATCACGCGCCTCGCAGCCTGGTGGCCCCACAAGGGGGCCGGCGGATTATACATATACCTATACATGTACATACATACATGCATACATGCATACGTACGTACGTACATACATACATACATATATACATACATATATATACATACATACATAGGGGTGCACCGAAATTGATGCGGCGGTGTCATGCGAGCGCAACCACTTGGGCTGTCGGTGGAGCTCCCGATGGGGCCGCGAAGCGTGTGAGAGGTGTGCCGACATGGGCGCGGTGGTGCCATGCGAGCGCAGCGACTTCGGCCTTCGGTGGAGCTCCACGGGCCGCGAAGCGTGTGATGGGTGTGCGGTGTGCCGACATGGGATGGGCATGCAGAGAGCAGAGGCAGGGAACAGAAGAGGGAGGGGGAAGGGGAGAGGACAGGAGAGGAGAAGAGGAGGAGACGCGGGGCGCAGTCTGTTCAAAGCGAGGTCCCGACTCCACAAGACGGCTGGGAAAACAGAAATGGGAGAATGTTGACCTCCTCGTTGTCTTTTCTCTCTTCTTCCTGACCCTGCTGCTGCCCCGACTCACGCCCATCCTCCATTGTTCCTACTCCTGGTTTGGGTGAAGCCGCCGTCACGGCCACTGTGGGTCTTCCTCCGCCTTTTGTCCGCGGCTGTTTCTGCTCAAGACTCTGGAGTCAATCAGGCACCGCAGTCGCCCGCCCAGCCCGCGTCGCTCACCGCAGCCGCCTTTCGACGCCATGGCCCGCTCCTCCTCGCTGCTGATCTCCTGCGCCGTCGCGGTCGTGGCCGTCGTGTCGGTGGCCTCTCTGGGGCTGAGCTTCGTGGGGACGCCGGCGACGGCGGGCCTGCGTGCTGGCCAGCGCGAGCCCAGCGTGGAGATGCAGTTCTTCGGCGGGTCGCCGTCGCCGGCACCGTCGCGTCCGTCGTCGGCGGGAGGAGACTGGCGCGCCAAGGCCCGGGCTGACCTCTATGAGCAGAGCGGAAATTACGTGGTCTCGTTCTCCATCGTGTTCCTCTGCTTGTGCGTGCTGAGCGGCAACACTGGCCCAGGGTACTCAGGAGTTACGGTGGGTTCGCGTCGTGTCGACCGGCGGCGACCCCGCCAGCGGCGTTCAACGTTGAACGCCGCGGGCGACCCAGAGCCGTTCGATGTGGAACGATTTGGACGTTTCGGATACGCCCGATCGTTCAAGGTTGAACGATCCCCGCGGTGTCAGGAACCAACGCAAGGGTCGACACGACACGAACCTGCCGTACGCTACAATCTGCAAGCGTAAATGCTGTAAATGTTTGTCGTCGTCCTCCTCCGCCTCCTCCTCATCCTCAGATATTTGCGCTGCGGATTGTTTACCTCAGGTACTTCGGCAACTTCTTCGACTACAAGCTGTAGGCGGCCACAGGTGCTGGCAACGCCACAGGCTACATCGTTGGCCAGCCAACCGACCGCCCGGGAGCCGTTCAGCGGGGCTCCAGGCTGAGAGGGGTCCGCCCTCCACGAGAGGAGGAGGAGGAGGAGGAGGAGGAGGAGGAGGAGGAGGATCTGACACTACGGGAACGCCCGAAAGCATGTCGAAGGAGGAGGATGAGGAGGACCAGTGTAAACCCAAGACTCATCAACGATATTGGAATCAACTCTCCCCGAAGCTCAATCTTCATGGGCCCCTACAAGGACTCATTTCCACTGAAGGAAGTGTCCCGTTGGGAGACCACCGTTTGAAGATCTTGAAGCGTGCCAAAGCAGCATTGTCGGGATTTCAAGACCTCGAATGGAACAGGTTGTTGCGTCTTGTCGATTCTGAATCGTGCCATGGCACCATTCCTCGGACTTCAACACCGCGAATCAGCGGAACTGTTGCGCCCTGGCAGTTTAAGACGAATCTCCGCGGCGCTAAGGCGAGAGCCACATGTTGAAAAGGAACCCTTTTCAGTCTGTGAGTCGCATGCAACATTTTAAGACGAATGCGCGCGGCGCTAAGGCGAGAGCCACATTTTGAAAACGGCCCGCCCTCAATCCGTAAAACTCTTGCAATGTTTCAAAGTTTTTGTGCGCGGTGCTACGGCGAGAGCTACATGTTGAAAACGACTTGCCTTCAATCCGTGAAGTTCTTACATTTGTTAGGACGAATGTTCGCGGCGCTGGGGCGAGATACACATGTTGAAAGCCACCCGCCCTCAACCACCCTTTCGACCAGCCTCGGGGGGGCGTCAGGGAGGAGTCACTTATGAGGGAAGGGAATGGAGGAGGAGGAGCAGGAGGAGAAGGATGAGGTGGAGGAGGAGGAGGAGAGACAGGATGATACAACGTATGAAAACAGGATGAGAAATATGAGAAGAAGGAGGAGTATCTCTGGACATCGGCATCATTGAGCACTCGGGTGCGAGGGCAGCGGCGGGCAGGTGGCCCACGGCGCGAACGCCCTTCTGCACTGCGAAGATCACGCACAGGAGGATCTCGCTACGTCTGCTTGCAGGTATCTTCCGTGGGCTGCGGCACAGACATGTTAGATGCTCGTTTTGCGGACGTCCTGGAGCCCCCCTAATGGATCTGTTTGACCCCAGTTCGACTCAGGTTCGACACAGGGTCGACCCAATTCGACGGACGTTTGACGCAGCCTCGACGCACGAGTGGAGCGAGTGGCTCCAGGAAGGTCCCCAGAATGAGCATCCAAGGCATGGACACGGCCCCCCAGCAGACTCGGCATGTGCACCACCCCTCGACGGCCACTCCTCGCCACGACGGCCCCCTCGACCGCCTGTGGAGCCCACGGGCCCGAGAGCGTGACGCTGCCTCTGCCCTTGCCGTCCCAGGCCAGAACCTCCCAGGACCCAGGCGAGGCCTGCTGTCGGAGCGGCCGGCACCGCGGACGTCGGCGGCGGCACTGCCAGCGGCCTTCGCAGCCTCAGGGGCCTCGCTTTCAAATTCCCGACGTCTCCCAGACCCCGTTCGGCGTCGGAGGGGCGGTGGGCGCGCGCGCGCCGCAGACTGCGCTGGCGCTCACGGGAGGAGGAGGAGGAGGAGGAGGAGGAGGAGGAGGAGGAGAAGGAGGAGGAGGAGGAGGCGGAGGAGGAGGAGGAGGAGGAGGAGGCGGAGGAGGTGAGGGAGGAAGAGGAGGAGGAGGAGAAGGAGGAGGAGGAGGAGGCAGTGGAGGAGGAGGAGGAGGAGGAGGAGGAGGAGGCGGAGGAGTCTGTAGCCATTTTGGCTCAAGCCGCGTCGCGTGCCCCGACCATCTTGGCTCAACCAGGCATGGCATGGCACGTGGCAGGAATGGCGAGGTTCGGGCAAGGCGCGCCTACGACATGATGTGCGAAGCCCCGTATCACGGAGATCACGAAAGCAGAAACCAGTGGTTCATGTGGTCATGAGTCAAGAGCAGTCCGAGTGGCACGAAAGGGCAGACAGGCACAGGCGAGAATTGTCACAAGTGCTAAGGTGCACCAGCAGACTTGGCTCATCGCCTATTTTCAGCGTCGCTTATCATGGCATAGAACGGACGACTTGCTGTGGAGCCTCGTCGGAGAGGCCGACCCTCTGCAAGGCGAGGTCAACGCGAGGATGCACTACATCGAGCCCGTCATCAAGCAGAATGTCGAGGCCGCACCGGAGCAAACCATGGACCCAGAGGAGCAGCAACACGTGGACCTAGAGGAGCAGCGGCAAGGACACCAAGGACCCACAGAAGCTGCAGCACGCGGACCCCGACAGCATTGACGTCGTCGTTTCTCCCGGACCCCTGCGCGGCGAGGGGCAGGCCACGAGCTCCACGAAACTAGCTCCGAAGCGAAGGGCGGCGACAGTTTCGACGTGACGATGACGACGACTCCCTCGGACCCTGCCTGGCGAGGGGGTTAGGCCACCGCGAACCCCTTCCTGGCGAGGGGGTAGGCCACAAGCTCCGCGAGACAAAGAGCTCTGAAGCGGAGGACGGCGACAGCTTCGACGACGACGACACCTTCGGACCCCGGCGCGGCGAGGGGGTATGCCACCGCGAACCCTTGCGCGGCGAGGGGGTAGGCCACACCAGCAACCAGAAGTTCACCAGGACATATCAACCCCGTACACACCGAGAATTTCGCCGAGCACTTCCAGTGGGAGTCCCGCGTCCTCGGCGAGGAAGGCAGGAACATCAGTTGCATTCAGGCGGAGACTGGCGCGCGCGCGATACTCACGACAGTGCCAGTTCAGGACGGCTTCGAGCTGTTCACCGCAACCACGAACGAGATCAACAGCGACGATTTCGACAGGGTCATCTTCATGTTCGAGGACCTCATAGAGTGCGTCCGCACAGAGGCCGCCGAGTGGTCTGCTCACGCAGGCGCGACCACGGAAAAAGACGACAAACGCCAGTCCGACGTCGAGGGCGACGATTCCTCGTGACGAAGGAGTAGACCACACGCTACCCCTGCGAGGCGAAGGGGTGGGCCTCCACCATGCGGGGCCTCCTGCGAGGCGAGGGGGTAGAGCTCCGTTCAACGTCCCCGGGTTCGTCGACTCCTTCATCGGTCACTCTTGACGGGCCCGCTCCTCCACTTCAGCCGACCTCGAGGACCACGGGAAGGCAGGAAGGGAAGGAGGTGCCCCCCTCCCCTGCGGCCGCGTCTTTCACAGACAGAGGGCCGATACTTAAAGGCATTGAAAGGAGGAGGAGGAGGAGGAGGAGGAGGAGGAGGAGGAGGAGGAGGAGGGAGGAGGAGGAGGAGGAGGAGGAGGAGGAGGAGGAGGAGGAGGAGGAGGAGGAGGAGGAGAAGGAGGAGGAGGAGGAGGAGCAGGAGGAGGAGGAGAGGAGGAGGAGGAGGAGGAGGAGGAGGAGGAGGAGGAGGAGGAGGAGGAGGAGGAGCAGGAGGAGCAGGAGAGGGAGGAGGAGGAGGCGGAGGAGGAGGAGGAGGAGGAAGAGGAGGAGGAGGAGGAGGAGGAAGCCACTTGGGCTCAGACCATTTTGGCGAGCCCGTGGCTCACGCGTCGCGCCGCTTGCCGACAGGCGGCATCGCGGCAGCGCGCGACGGCGCGCAGCAGACGCCCAGTCAAGGAACCGAGCTGGCATAAGCGGGCCAGGGCGCAGCGAGGACGAGCCAGATTGCTCATAGCGCTGGCCAAGGCCCAGACCACGCTGGCCAATCATCATTCTTTCAATCAGATGAGCAGGAATTGGAAGTGTCAGGATTGCTATCGACTGGTTCCCAATAGTGTATGGAGATGCCACTGCGGATACCAATGGCACAATGGGCACAGGAATCCAGATGCCCCAGCGAACCGTGCACCAGCTGTGCCAGCCAAGGCCCAGCCAGCAGCTCGCAGCAAGCATGCATCGGCCCCTCAGCAGCACCAGCAGCAACAGCAGCAGCAGCGGCCAAGGTCAGCGAGCCGCAGAAGGCAGTTTGCCAAGGCAAAGCAGCAGGAGCTCCAGCGCATGGTCAAAGAGTTACCATCGGCGACCCCAGACCAGGCGTATCAGAACACAACAGTTTGGAAGCTCCCTCCTTCGACCAGCGATGACCCAGAGACATTGGCAGCGTTTCGGAAAGATACGCGCACGCAGCTAAACAAGAGAGCAAACCTGTACAAGAGCTCACTCGAGATGGGCAGGCATGATGATACTCTGGTTGAAGAAATGGCCGTTCTCAAGTTCATGCTCGAAGCCTGTGATGGCCCAGAGCGTCAGGTACAGCACGCCCGAGGTGAGCTATTGATCGCCAGGGAGAGATTGCAGCGCATCCGAGACCGACGCGAGGCCCTTCGTACGGAGGAAGAAAAGATCATTGAGAACATTGATTTGCTAGAGCAGAAGGTGCAGCAACTGGTTGCGGAGGTAGGCTACGACCAGTGGATCCACGCGGACGGGGACGTTGACATGACAGCGCCAGCCCAGGATGCGGGAAGCAGGCTTCCTGTGCCACCCGAGCCCCCGCGAGGGAGGAGAGGATGGGGCTCCCCCGTACCAGCTCCACGGTCTGCAGGGGTGCACAGCGACTCCGCCAGACCCCCAGCCAGTGCGACAGAGCCTATCTCAAAGGGCCCTGGGCTCGTGTCAGCCGCCCCACCCCAGCAGCCCATGCAGCCCCTAGCAGTCAGCGAGCGAATCCAGATTCTTGAATATATGAATGCGATGGTCACAAGGCAGGAACAGACCGACAAGCTCATCGAAGCTATGAATCGGCAGCTTCACTCCGCTGCCCAGGCCCAGGCGACGCTCCAGCAGCAGGTATTCGCGGCGCAGATGGGCCAGCAGATGCACTTCGACAGCAGGGCGGCGACGGCTCAGCAGGCGGAGGCGGCCCAGTCGGCGGTGGCTGCACAGATCGCCGCTGCCCAGGAGGCGGCTGCACAGGCAGCTTCGAAGGCCAAGGCCCCTCCTTCGGCCGTGCCGTCGGCCGTGCCGTCGGTGGCCTTCCCTC